CGCAGCAAGTCTACAAAGCTTTAAAGGTTCGAGGCAGAGGTTCACTAACGTGTCTAACATAATCATCCAGCGGTGAGGCTGTCTGCATCCCGGCCTTAAGAGTCCAACCCGTAATCAGAGCCTGACGAGATGCAGGTGTGTGCCAAGGGCGGGAGCCTGCAGTGAGCTCCGCCCTGGCAGGGGAGAATGTACACAAAACACATGTGGCCTTGTGGAGCTGGCTGGGCAGACACGGGGACCATGACAGAAAAATTATTTGGTTGACAGTGTCTGCAGGATTCTTAAGCTGAGTGGCCGTGAAGTCCGTCAGTAACTTCTCTGGACTGACAGGAGACTGATCAGAAAAACAGCCCCACACCATAATAGGAATCAGAATACATATATACAAATAGCTCGATTATAAATATCCAGACTATTACAGACATTAAATAGAGTATATATAATTGACATTTTATTTGCGTGTTACCCATTGGTGCATTAGAGTAATCTCAGTCTCCAACTGAACATGCTCCTGTGACTGGCCAGCACCACTGTAAGGGAGTCCAGCTCCACCCCCACAACATTGGCCTTGTAGATCAGTTTATTGAGTCTGTTGACATCTGCAACCCTCAAACTGCTGTCCCAACATGCAACAGCACAAGACTCATAGAAAATCCTGAGCATTGTCCAACAGATGTTAAAAGACCTCAGCTAATTCAGAGAATAGAGATGACTGTAGAGTGCAGTGGTGTTTTTAATCCAGTCCAGTTTATTATCAATGTGTACTCGAGGTATTTATAACCCTCCACAATGTCCACATCAACCCCCGCAGTTGAAATACAGGGTCACAGGTTTCCTGGTCCTCTTAATGACTGATATCAATTCTTTGGTCTTTGTCAGCCTGGTTCGCTGTCTCATCACCCTCACTGACGCATCCAACCACCGCAGAGTCATCAGAACACATCTGAAGATGGCAAGTCTCTGTGCAGTGGCTGAGGTCTGTGTTGAAGAGGAAGGGGGAGAG